AAATTGCCTTTATGGGGATTTTATTCAGATCTATTTGTAGGCATGGGGGATGGCAGGATTATGATGAAAAATTCTTCTTCTATTCAAAATAAAAGCCATATTTTAGTTTAATATGGTTTTCTGATTAGATATGCACTGTAGGTACCAATATATTAAAATCAAATACTTCTGAGGCAGTTCAAACATAATCAAGACATAAATGTCTTTATTTCATATTTCAATTTGTATGGCTTCCCGTCTCAGATTCATGACTCTGGATGGCTAGCAATAATTTAAAACTATACAAAAACACAAAACAATATAAAAACCTTTGCTAACATAATCAGAAGCCAAGGTTAAAAACAAAACAAAACACCACCAAATTAAGATAACCACTGCCTGGGCTCTGCCACCCATCTGGATCCCCAAGCCCAGAGACAAAGCCATCTCTTTAAGGTTAGCAAAAGCCAGGTCTACCCATCCCATCAGGTCATGATGTCTTTACACCCATCGGTCATTAGAAAACATCATCTGTCAGGGCCCAGAAAGAGAGATATTTCTGGGCCCTGCCAGATGACATTTCCTAATGACTGATAGGATGTAAAGACATCATGACCTGATGGGATGAGTAGACATAATCTCAGAGAGGTGGTCCCTCAAATTTAGTTGGAATTCTTATAGTCATGTGTCTTTCTTGTTAAGAGCATGTTTGGACATAAATAGTAATTCCTAGTTTGGGAGAATAAGTGAAGGTTTCTTCACTGTCCAGTTAGTATAAGGCTGAGTTATGCAGTAGCGTAACTAGTCTAAAATATTTGTGCTATTGGTGTCAGTTTTTATGAGATATTGACGCTCCCCTGACTCTGGCTACCAGATGTCTGCTGTTTCCTTTCATGTAGTGGTTTGGTTTTTTATAAAAACCTCAGGGTCATGTATGAACGTACTCTTTGGAATTGGTGAACCAAGGTTTCTGGCTTAGTACTCAGGCATATATCTTTTCCATCTGGAGGGTGCATCTTTTTTAAACAATCCAGTGGTCACAGGAAATGCTGTGGTGACAGAACCAGGCCCCCAAAGGGATGAGGCTTTGTTTTCTGCTATGTTTAATGCAAGTCATCACACACTGGTTTCTCTTCAGATTGTATAAATCTTTCTCCCATTTAATGCAAGTCATTTAGCTCTTATTTTTAAATAAAAGGGAAAAAACAGCACTGATGGTTTCTGGAGGCTAATTTTGGCTTGCATGCTATAGTTGACTACACTAGCTTAGTAAAATGTTCAAACACAGCTGTGCTTTATTCAGTAAGCAATTATTAGATAAAACAGAGCCTAGAATCATGTATGAATCTAGTGGTAATCTCCAAACCTAGAGAGTGAAATAAAAGTTGATTCCACCTACCTTGGGGAAATAGGCTTAGGATTCCACAGTATTTACCATTCAAATAAAGAGCTGTTCTTCATATCCCCCAACATATCCTCATGACATTGCCTTCCTCTCATATCTGAGACAGCTTAGTTTCCCTTCTCTGTGCCAGTTTTACAGTATTTTTCCTCTTCTGACACTTTCCCCCCCCCAAAGATGCAATCTACTGTGTTTCATTGTTTGCTTGGTTGTTGATGTGGCCAGAGATGTAATGCCTCATCTTCTATTGGGCACCGTAGGCTGCTGCAGACCTACTTCAATATCTCCAGTTTCTGGAATTGCCTCCTTGGCCACTTTGCTTTAGGTTGCAGGAAAGGCCGCTTGACTTCTGCAGAGGCACCACCCTGTGTAATGCCTAACCAGCCTTTTTTGATGCTCTTGTCAAATCTTATGAGAATTTCTCATAAGCATGCATTTAGCCCTGTTTCAAAAGTGTGCTAGTCCTCTGCTGCACAGAAGTTCAGTTGAAACTGGGAAAGTAAGCCGAGCTAACTAGCTATGGGTTGCTAGCTGGGTCACCATTGGATTAAAGGGTTTTCACTGTATCTGCTGACAGCAGTTTTACACCATGATTTTTTAAAACTGTTTTTATTATTTGCACAAGAACACTACAACAAATGCCTTTACCAGGCAAGGCTGCCAGAGCCACCTTCATGCAGATGCACCTTCTACAGCTGAGTGTGCAATATACCATGCTTACTTATGTCCCCCATAGTGGGGAGGGGTTGATGCCCTTTTTTCTACTCCATTCTCACTTTAGTAGCACTGGGTGACATGAAGATTATTATGATGGTCAGGAAAAGCCAGACAAAAAATTCCAGAAATCTTCTTTTGCACATGTGTTCTCCATGGCCAGTCACAGGCTAATTCAGGGTGCTGCTGGCCAGAACATTAGAACTGTATTTCTTGATCACTCCCCAGTTGGGAATGGAGCTTGCTTGGTATCTATCACTCCTTCCAATTTTATCCAATGCCCGTTGCCTACTTTTGAACACTGGTTTAGCATTATTTTAGAAGAATTCCTGGGAAATCCACCAATCCCTTTCCTTAGACCACATTAAGATCAGAATAATTCACAAATCTCATTATTTTGGCTCAATAGGGAGCAGCACAATTTATTCTGGAAAACCCAGTCTTGATGATGACACCTGCACATTAGTAGAATTATTTGCAGGAAGGTATTCATAGAACTGCATTATGTTGTAATTTTCCACACATTTGCAAGAAAATAAGTTCATTTGAACTTGTTTTAAAATAAACCTGTATATACTTGGACTGCAGAGTGAGGTGCTGAAGAATAGGCTGTCAGGGTACAGTTTATGCACATGTTAGAACAAACTACAGTGAACTTAGTGGGACCTGTTTCTGGATAAATATATATAGGATTAGGTTGACTGTCATTATCACATTTAGCAACAGCTGGGAAATGAATTTGGAAAGAAGAAATTATATATCAATAATGAGATTTCTATTCTTTATTTCACTCTTGAACAATGTACCAGATCTTGTTAAGAATTAGGACAAATAAATGTAAAAAAATAAAAACACTGTAATCTTAAAAGTGACCAGAACAGTAAGGTATTCTAGTTTCAAAACATTTGAAGTTTAAAATTCAAATCCCAATATTTATCAGAATTTGAAATTTTTAGCCATAGTTTAAAAATGCTATGACATAAAAAGACATAATAAAGTTGGACCATTTCCTTTGGTAGTTTGATCTTAATAAGCACATTTATTTGCAAACTGTTGAAATCTTACCAGTCATAATAGAGTTGGATGGTCTTCAGAAATTTTAGAACAGGATTATGTAATGTATATTTGTTCAGATATACCTATCTTTCTCCTAGTGGTTCCAGTGGCTTTACTAGACTGCTGATGATGCCCAATCTACCATAGCTTCAGTAAGGTTTAAACATTTATCTAATTTACTAGTGTAAAGCTTTGAAGATATCTTATATAGCATATGAACCATAAGTCCCCCCATTTTGCTTGTTGTTACAGGTAGTCCTCATTTGGCAACTGCCTCAGATAGTGACCATTTGCAAATATGACAGTAATAAACAGTACACACACACACACACACACTCCAACCAATGCATACACTTATGACTAAATTTCTGTGCCTGACAACAGCATATGCCAGAGTGAGAGTAATGCTGGCATCGCTGCACAAGAGAACTTTATCTAAATGAGATGACAGCAGTCAGTAATCTTTACAGTTTCTCTCTCTCCCTCTGTCTCCCTCTCTCTCTCTCTCTCTCTCAGAGTCACATGGTTCGCTTAGTGATCATGTCACTTAGCGACCATTTTGCCAGAATGAATTGTGGTTGCTAAGCAAGGAGAGCCTGTATTATTTTTGATGGATATGTTTAATATATCCATTAAAGAACAGCATCAGTTGTTCCTTCCCTAGTGGCCCCAAACCAGTGGTTCCCAACTGTGTTGGTAAGATATATTTGTAACATTGAGAACATTGTGTAGGTACTCTCACATAACTGCAGCCATGGGTAGACAGAACCAGTACGAAGAGTCAATTTACCCTGCTTTGTACCTACAGTACTTAGCACAAATGTTGCCAGCAATTTATAGGAATTTCTGAAAGTTAATTAAGCCAACTAGATGTATAATATACATTCTCTTAAAATTCCTTGGGTAAATAAAAATTACGGAAGAGATAAAAGAGAGGATTTGAGTCCTTCATATTATCTTACTTTTGTCACTCCTTTCCCATTCTACTGGTATTGGCATTGGTGCTTTCACAGTGTATGATTCTAATTAGCGTGCAATAAAGGGTGTAAGTGAACAGCTAATATGCTAAAACAGAAGAGCGCATGCATGTCATATGAATAAGAATTCATTCAAAGTTTCCTGCTTGTTTGCACTGCCTTTGTACAATTTTGTTTTGCTTTGTTTATGTTGGTTTGATTGGCTTTGGTTTGCTTTTCTATTTTGCTCCTCTGATCTGTTATATTCTTGTTATATGCCTGCCTGCCTGCCTGCCTTCCTAGCTGCTCAGAATCAGCTAGGAATTGGGTAGCCTATAAATTAAATGTGTGTGTGTGTGCTGCGTGTGTGTGCTGTGTGTGTGTGAGGGAGGGAGGGAGAGAAAGAGGGAGATTCTATACATTTTCAGAACATATTCAAAGGAATAAGTTTTAGCTCGGTCAACATATTTTGATAGGAAAGTTACACATGCATAATTGCCACTGATCATGTATGACCCGTCTAGAGTGGCATTTAAGAGCCTCAAACCTTTTTAGTACTAAGTCTCATAACTGAATTAAAGAAGCTGATTTTCACTGAACAGAATTTGTCAGGTAATTTTGTGGCAGGGGGCTGAGAAGGATGATACAGCAATCTTTATGAGATATTTTTGGTGCTTGCTAGGGAGACTTTTAATAGGATTCCATTTTCAATCTCTTTGTTTTCAGTGGAATAGTTATGAAAGTAATATTTTAAGGGTACAGAAAGATATAACAGGACTTCTTAGGTACAAAACTGCAATGTTATGGGTGAAATAGTTTAAGTTCATGTAATCATATATTGAGAGTGTTAAATAAAATTTCTTTAGTATTTATTTGAAATGTGGAAGTTTATTTTCCCCAGTAGATATACAATACACACTTAACATTACGATTAACCAACTTTATGCCCATTAAACTTTGCTTCACTAACACATGAAACACATTAAGAGGTCATCATCTTTGTGTGTGTGTGACTGAAAAAACTGTTGTAAATGAATCATTTTATATTTAAAAAATTAGAAAACAGTTTTAAGAGCTGCCACCACATTCCTTTTCTTTAGACACATTATGAACAAGAAATATTTTCAATTATAAAAAAGTTTCTTTCAATTATAAAAAAAGAAAAAAAAGGCAAATTGCACATTTTAAAAAATAGGTTCTATGATCATTTGAAGCACACTACATAAATGAGAAACAGAGAGAAAGAAGAGATAAAATAATAGCATTTGTTACACATTTAGGTGTTTTAAAAAGCATCCTAAAATTAATGTAAAGAGAATTCTATAGTAGTGAATAATAGACTGATATTATTTTACTACATATTTTAATACTGATACAAAATTGGAACTAAAAAGAACAAGACATTTAACTAAAGGAATCTGGGATGGCTACTTTTATTCACATTGTACTGTGAAGAAAAATTGACCAGTAAGGTGTTCCACCAAAGCTCAACACATATTTCTAAAACTAATTAAAATATTCAGGAAGATCATACTATACAGAACTCAAGGCATAAACAATGAGTCATCAACTATTGTTATGTCTCTTTAAAGTTATGTTGCATCTTGAAAACTCGTGATATATCACCTTATCTTGAATAGAATTCTGAGGACTCTGTCATTTACATATTGCACTTAGAATAAGCCATTAAGTCTAATTTTTTACAGTACTTGGAAATATATGGTTAGAGTCACTTTTGTAGCTCACTCAGCTTAGTTTGGGCGACGGGAATATATTTCAGCATATTCAGTACTGGTAGCATGCTACCTAAAAAGAATGGCATGAAAGTGCATGATAATAGCCAAGGAGTTATTAACTTCCCACAGGACAGAAAATATCATGGATCTAAGTATAGAAGTGGCTGCAATTCTACTGTAATATGTAAATGAAATTTAAATCCAAGCCATTATAATTTAAAGTGAGAAAGGTGGAAGTTTATTTCAATCCTGATTTATATTTTCTTTTTGAATATCATTTCAAATGTGTAGTGCCAGAAATGTCCAAATAACACACTTATATTGTAAACAGTTATGCACCAACTTGCATCCTGAATTTCTAGAAATCAGATTTTCCTGTAATTTCAATACATACCTATTTTTTTTTTCCCTAGAGGTTAGTTGCAGTCACTCTGTGGATTAAAAACAAAATTATTCAGGTTTTCAATTATAAAATTGCATGTTGCAGCAAAAACCAAAACAAATATATTCTGGTTGTAATTTGAAGTCCTTTTTAGTCATAGAAAACTCTCATACAGATGGAGATTTAGGGGAAAAGACCTTGCTGGCAATGTGACTCACAAAAAATCTCATGAGATTTGGGCCATAAGTACTAGCATCAAGGATTTCGTAGGTAATATTGGCAAGATTGCTTGATATTTGAATGCACGTGTCTATCTCAAATCTTGCAAAAGACTTCTGGTAGCCACTTTTTTGTTGTTTCTGTGCAATGGACTTGTGTCCCCTATCCCAGCTATTGGTACATCAGTACATCACAGTTCCAGTACACCACAGTAAGAAAGGAATGTGTAAGAATTAAAATGATAGACGATATGAATTCAGTACCCTTTTCCACATTTAACTGATTGGTACTGTGAAATCTTTAATTCATAAGCCCCTGATAACAGGTGCACAAAAATTGCTCCAAACCAGACATAGTTGTATCAAGTTTTTAGGTAGGCTGTAGGTAGCATGGGGAGTTCTCTTCTTCAAAGCAGCTTCTTGCATCATCATTATATAAAACTGTATGCATAATTTTTTGTATCCATACTACTAATGCTAGCACATGCAGATATCTTGATTTTAACATATGGAATTCAGGAGAGAAAAACATCTATTTTTATATTTATGAATGTTTCTTTGTCTTTATAGAATAATGGCCTTAGCTATGTCCAACATTTCAGTTAGCAAGAATGTTACATAACTTCATTGAATCGATATAGCTTTCTTTGTTTCTGGTTTGCCAATACTCTGAACTAAAGTAAATGAAAAAAAAAAACCTATTTGCAGTATTGATTTACAATTTATAATAAAAAAATATTTTAATTTATCACATTCTCAAAGTGATGTAATGAAAAAGAACAGAGATTTATTTGCTTGTTCAAGAAGTATGTTTTGTGTAACAGTAGTATGATCATCAAGGCAAGTATAAACAATAGGAACTGATTGTATTTAATGAATGTTTGTAATAATGATATGAATGAATAAGATAAGCTTTGTGATATAAACTTCAAATGAAATATTTAATGCATTGGTATACATGTATAATATTTCTAACAAAGAAGTGAAAAACTGGCAAGAAGAAAGTCATGAAAACTAATGATGAGACAAGATGCTTTTGTTAATGTCCACTTACAGCAAGTTTGGTTTATTTAAAAAGTGTATAAACATGCATTGATTTTGTAAGAAGAGGCTTGAAATTTAGTCATCAAAAATAGGCCAAAGATGTTTTCTTTTCCTTGTTTTAACCAGTTTCCAGTAATGTAGTGAATTGGTAAAAAGAAACACCTTGATTTCAAACTGAACATGAATATGCTGTATCTTTCTTTTCAACTATTGTAACCAAGATTTAAGTACAAATGAATTGGATTTCAATTTCTTACAATTTCAGATAATAATACAGCAAAACTATGTGTTAGTTGCATAAGAACAATTAGATCATGGATTTCAAGTGATGTAGCTCTACATCTTCATCTTTACTGCACATGTATTGAAAAGATGAATACTGTAGATTTTTGGAAGCAGCTTGGATATATCAATGATAATTGCATCTTTAACTCTTGCTAAGTATTTCTCTACCTTCATATGGTTCATATGTGTAGATGGAAGAGCAAATCAACTATAATACTCTTTTCTAAAAACAAAAAACACTAGTATAAAAAAAACAGCTTTAGTGAAACACCTTAACTTCCTTCCTTTGTAGTGAGTGCAACTGTACTGAACAAATGAAAACTCATACTAAGAAGATAGGAGGCTTTCATGTTCTAATCTGATCTTGATTCCATCATTTGACCCCTTATTTAAAATGGTAAAAGCAACATGTTGCTTGTTATTTCAGATAGTATTCCATCCCTGATGTCCCAATCAACTTGCTAACATCAGTTTTGCCAGTCATCTTCCTAATTCTACACCCAAATGGAAAACCACCTAACATAATTCATTACATCCAGCATTATCCAACATAGCTTACAGTACATAGACTCCTTTCACATTCAGTCTTCTTCTTCTTCATGACACAAGGCGTAAAAGTTTTGTGCTTATCACCAACAAAAAATTGCAGTGCAAACTTCAAACATAAATGTTACACAATTAAAAGTTATTATATGGCACCACAGCCTATTAATTCACATATAGTACAACAGACCAAGAAGGACAGACAATAATATGAACATAGCTAAATGAAGGTGAGTTTGCATAGCAATGCAATAAAAAGAAATTATATACAAGGGAAATTCATTTCATCCTGCAGGTGATTTTTTTTTTCCAGTATATATGCTTAGTAAGAAAGAGATTAAGGTGAAAGGTGTAATAGAGAAGAACACAGGTAGAGTATCTGCGGGATATGTGTGGCTGTGTTTCTTTACATTGCATTTACAGTTCCTTTAATAGTAAGTACATAAATAAAGAAAATGTTCATTGCACTGTTTAGTGTCATCACTTCCATGAGTTCAGACCTTGATGGCCCTTGAGAGCAGCTCGAGATGTTTCTGTTCAACTACTCTGTTAACAGAAAGCAAGAACAGGATAATGTTTTAAGACATTTTCTTTTAAAGATTTGTGCATTCATTTGAAGATTTATGCATATATCGTATTTTTATATTAAACAATAAAAATATTGTTCAATAATAACATTTTAAGTTTAGTGAATGTGAATTGAAAATATGACAATATTTTGATACTTGAAATAAACATTGGGAACATTGTTACAAAAACATTGTAATTTAATAAGAGTACCAACTTGGGACAGTCTACACCACAAAATAACACCTATGCATATTTTTAAAATATCTTAACATTACAAATTTCTGGAAGAGACAGGTATGGAGGTAGAATGACACTATTATTAAAATATAATTTTAACTGAGGAAAATAAGGATTGACATACTTTGTTCATACAAGTGAATTATGACCCAATTGTCACTAAATTGAAAATTTATCTGGGCTGCATTACTTCACATCTGAAGTGGAATTTTACACAGTTCAAAGTTTATAATGTCACAATTAGAAAATGTCCTATGGAGAGAGAAACTGTGACCTCATGCCTAAATTTTTAAGGTTTCTTACATAGGGCAGGATTTTTTTTTTCCATTGTCACTCATGATTTTCAAAAATGGTTCATATTCATTCAGCTGAATCATTTATGAACAAAGTAAAGGAATAACCACCATTATTATGAGCATTTTGTATTAATTTCTCAGATTATATACATTTTCTCTCATGTACATAAGGAAAATGCAGTTATGTGTACACTATTCTCTATTACACACAGTTATAAGTGCATTTCCCCATTTTGCATATTTTAAAGTATTTTCTTAATTGTGACCACACTGTAATATTGCCAAAAGGGCACATTTTGGTATGTGCCCATAGGCTTTAGGTAAATTCTATTCTTATAAAAATAAATTAAAAATTAAAAAGAAGCAAATTCCTCCCACAGTTTAGATTTTTTTTTTTCATGGACGGGAGTTCATATGTGTAACCCTTTGCCCTGCAATATAAAATAATACAATGTAAGCTATAGTTTTCTACTTTAGAGAAAGCTTACTGTTCAGAAATGCTAAA